ACCTAGAACATTCTCTTTAGCCTCTATACCACAACACTTTCCAGATGTAAAGAGCAGCTGAACTATAAAAACACACAATAACAATGTAACACAGCACCACCAAACAAGCCTCACAGACTGGAGCAGATTTTGTTGTGCAACGCTGTGTTTCATCCTCTGACACGGACATGAGCGCTTGACTCACAGAGACAGACTGATCGAGCTCTGGTGCAGAAAATAGACATTTTCACAAACCCGGGCAAAAAAACCCCCAGACAACTTTTACCTTGTTACTGTCTCTCAGCACTGACAAATGGGCTGGAGGGGTGGTTGAAAGAGACCCTAATAAAAGCAAAGCATAATCGGTGTAATTATAATCATATTAGCCTTTAATTATTACACCATCATACATTCTTGATTCCTCGGACTGAATATACACAACATGCACAAGAGACATTCGTGTAGGTTAATGTAGCTTGCAGCCAACATTTTAAAAAACCCCAGATGAAACTGCAGATTATCGTGTGGGTGCTATGCATTGTGTTGTAGGAACCTTACGGTGCAATTACTTGTCCTTCCCTCCCCCTGACAAAGTGGCGTGGGTGGAAAAGCTTCTGTTAATCATGGGCTCTATTTTATCACTTTCAGGTAGAGACCCCTTCGCCGCGTGAGGGAGCTGCATTAGCACACTCGCCGAAAGATCCCCAGCCCGCATTACCATAATTGTGGCCAAAATGTCAGCAAAATCCCAGGAATTCATCATTCACTATCTCCCCTTGTTTGAAGCATGTCGATTTTTCCAGCTCCGCCTGACGACCCCGCAGCCCTCCTCAGTCCAAAGCCAACATTGCAAAAGAGAAAGTTAATTAAACGGAACAGAAGGCCATCCACATATAGTCACTGCCTCTTGTCTTAGCAGTTTGTACAGGGAACCATCAGCGACAGCACACAGGAGCCTCCACCAAGAGGTTCATTTGTCGCTAATGTACATTACAGTAAGAGAGGGGAAGTGTGTTTGTTGTGCATGTGTTTGTGTGAGAGAGACCCAACCCAAGAAGAAATGGAACTATTAATGTGTGTGTGTGTGTGATCTCCACTGTGTGTATTCCATTAAATACAAGCAGTGTTAATCTTTGTGAGTGGCCAAGCAGGCGGCGGAGTGTGAGTCAGTGCGGGGGTGTGAACATGGAGTGAGGGTAAAGGGCCAACTAATGCTGAGTGGCAGTTGATAATGCCAGACCGTTATATCAGCATCTGCCCTCCGGCTTCATGCTTACCTCTCCGAGCCTGCTGCTGCCATCAAGCATTTCCACACGGACACAAAAACACACACACAATAACATGACTGCCTTGCAAACACTCTGCATTCTGCAGCAAACAGTCCCTTGCACAAAATCTAATCAAACAGAGGTTATATGGTGCCTCAAGCCATCGCAACAAATTACAACTTCATTTGATGTGCATATCTCGTCTGCAAACACAAAACACATATTTGCACACAGAGACCAAGTCGAGCCCGGCCTCAGAACAGAAACAAAGCACCATTTTAGTTTCCAGGTAGGGAGGGAGCAAGTGTATCATAGCTGCAGTGTGACTAGGAGTTTATTTTAGTTTGTCTTTGACATAATTAAATCCTCTTATGTTCGTCTGAACATTGTTTCTTTAGTCAAGTAAGAGATATCAGAAATTGAATGTTCCCATCGGCGGAGCATGACATTTTGAATCAGCCACAAAATAATCATGTATTAACGTTGGCCTTGTTTGACTCAGATCTCCACAGCAACCCCATTAATCTTAGGACTTCACAGATAATATAGCATCCCTGTCTGTGGTCAACTGAACAGTTATTAACACAAGGGACAGATCTAGGGGCGGGGACAGGAGGTGCCAGGCAGAGCTGAAATCTTATTGGCCCTGTCAGTAGTCTTTTAAAAAATGAAAACTAGTTACTTATGAACAATACTAAGGATAAATGATGTGTGGCTTTGCCCAAAGCTTTGGAGCTAACAGTACACAAGGAATGACTCAAATGTGCACCTTCCTGAATAAGACAATTGTACGCTGGACATAAAATTGTCCCTTCTGTGTAAATGTGGTCCCTGATTTAGGAAAACCCTAGTTCCACCACTCTAAGACACACACACATGCAAAGAAAACACAGCAATAGACAAATGCTCACACACACACCCCCGGAAATAAAAGTGTGAAAATAGAAATGCAGTGAGAAACAAACCCGTATGAGGACTGACAGCTGAATTTAGTGGCACATAAGGCCAGAGGGAGGCCTGGCATTGACAAATGAATTGAGCGGAGCTGAGCTTGGCTTTAAAATTGTGAATCAGCTTCTTTCCACGTTGCCCAGCACAGGAATACCACAGCAGCTTGAGCTTTAGTACAACAAGAAGGCCGAGTGCCAGACATAAACACATATTTATTTATTAGCCCTTGAACCGTGCTTTAGAACATGCTACGTTACAGCAGACCTTGGCACCGACTGGTTGGCAGTGGAAGTTGTTGTTATGTTATAGTAAATACAGTGGAAGGGAAGTTGAAGAAAGGGCACAGGTGAGTGCACATGAGTGGATCATGCAATCAAAGCTTCCCCCCTGCACCCCAGAGTTATTTACTTTAGCAAACCTCTAGGACGAGGGAGGTTTCAAACCTCCGTCTGGACTTATTTCACTTCCACAAGTTTTTCTCCTTCACTTGTCATTGATAGTGATCATAAAACTAATCATTAAGAGAAAGCTATTTGCCAGCAGTACAGTATAATATGTAGTGTAGGTGCACATGCATTGATTTGTAGTTAACACTTTATCATAGAGGTTAGAATTCACATCGTTAAGCTGTATCATGAATTCCTGTTGATCCCTATTAGGAACAGTCATGTCACTGTGGGTTTATTCAATTAGTTGGTATTTAATTAATCATCAATCAATGGATGTTAACTCAGTTACTTAATTCTGTAAATATGCCTCCGTAGCTGGAATGAATTACACTGGTAACCACATGTAATCTCCTGATGATCAGATTCCTGACACAACATTAAAGATAGGGTTGGTGATCTGTATCTGAAGCACTTGTTATCCTATTTGTTGTAATCCTCTTCTCGTCCTGATAGCCATCAATAAAGAAAGTCGTCGCTGGACTGTAATAAACACGACTGATCGTGATTCGCTGATGTACCTGCCTGTCACCTCTTTGCCTGTGTTCACTGAGCATCAGTCACAAACCGGAGAGACAGACATCGCTGAAGCAGAGACGATAGCCAGAAGTTTTCGTGCGAGTCTTCCTGCAGTTGTCGGGCAGTGTGCTTTCATGTGCGTAGCTTTGACGAGAGGGTCGAAGGGAGGGGGTGAGATGTATCAGTTGCATATTTCGAAGCGCAACCTACTCTTGCTAGCTTTTCCAGGATTACCGACCCTAGCATAGGATGTATCATGAATTTCTGTCGGTCACTTTTAGGAATTGTCATCATCAATCAATGAATGCTAAGTCACAGTTATTTTACTCAGCACATAGGCCCCATAGCTGGAATAAACTAAATTTAATAAGTAAACTTTTAAGTAAACCATAAGTAATCTCCTACATGCTGCTACAGAACCCAACACCTCAACACTCTGAGTAACATTGACGAAGTCAAGCTCAGATTCCTGACACGACATTAACATCCAGTTATTGCTTCTCACTTCACTGCAACGCAAACTGTTGACATATGCTTCAACATGTTTCCCCTTATTTATTAACTGGTACTTGAGCAATGTTTTGGATTCCAGTGCTCTGCTTTCAACACTCACTTCCACAATGAAAGATGGATTATTAAGATATTCCTCATCCTCTATACTGTAACTCGGAAATGCGGCATAAAGAAGACCAGGCTCAAATCTTCATGAGAAGAGTGTTCTCTGTTAAATGCAATGTTCTTATATGCACGTAACTGCACTCCAGCAAATATGGCAGCATATGAATTAAAGCATGAAGCAACTGTCGATTGATTAACTAATCACATAAAGTCTTACCCACTTTATCATTCCAGGGATTCATCTTAAGTCCTGCATTAAATCATCACGCACTGCTCGAGCATGTGTTTTGCGGCCCTATTATAGACTGTTGTATTGTGTCTCTGTGATGACACGATGATTAGCGATGAGAGGCCGCGTTAAGAGAACAATGTGGTGCTGACAGATGGAGGGCAGCCAGAAGTGATGCGAGACGGCCAGTGGAAAATTGTGCAATCCCTGGAAATTGAGCAAACATTGATCAGCAGAGCACGGCCGCTCCCGTGGTCCGTGAGCCATGAAGCCAGCACAGAGGGCCGGGGGAAGGGGGGCACCATGGACAAAAGCCTGTAACAACCACTGTTGTGGGGGAAAAAAACGGCCTCCGGAGTGAAACGCCACTTTTCTGTCTGCAGATGCCAGTCACTCATTCTTGGGGAGCGCGTCACCAAATGATCCTAATTGATAGCCTGCGAGGGGAGGGTCACTCTGTATTTTTTCGTGCCCCTGAATCTGAGCAAAGGAAGGAAGCAACAGGGATGGGGGGGCGTTGAAGAAGCAGCAGCACGCTAACCTTTAATACGGGGAGGAGGAAAATGGCGGCGTACCAGCTCTATCTCTACAATTTTCTCTTTTCATTGAGGGAAAAGTACTATTTCATTCATGCCATTTCCGTTCATTCATCAGCTGGGGCCAGCCTAGACTCACGGTGCCATCTCCACCACACCAACATTCTTATCAATGGAAGTGACGTCAGCAGTGCCTGCAGCTGGGGGGGGGGGGGGGGGGGGGGGGGGGGGGGGAGATCACGTGGTCCGGTGAGGGTATATACAATAAAGTTGCGCTGGCCGTGGTGCTGAAAACATTCATTCAATTGCACATTAGAGCCACTGCTGCTGCTGCTGCTGCTGCTGCCACATACAAACACAGCACACAGCTGAAATAAAGAAGCGCCAGTGTGTGTGCGTGTGTCTGCGTGTTTTCTTTTTTTTTTCTTCCTCTTCTTCATGTTGGTCACAAGCTGAAGAGAGAGAGACGGAGAGACAGACAGAGAGAAAGAGAGAGAGGTGGAGAAAAGAAAAAAAGACAAGACATTCTCTCAGGTGATCCGCTATTCATGAAAAATTATCTTGGCTTTACCCGCGCTGTGAGTTTCACCACTTCCCCACCCCCAAAGTGGGACCCCAGGTAAGTGGGACGAAATCTCTTATTCTCATATTATTCATCAAATGTTCCTGATAAGATTGATGCAGACATGTTTTTACTTTGTGTCTTTTATGTAGTTTATATAGATTTTTTGTGTGTGGAAGATTTTTTGATAAAAAAAAATAAAATCTCAACTTTATCATGATAATTGATCATTTCTCTGCAGCTGATGGTGGTGTGATCATAAGGTAGTGATGTGAACCAGGACTGTTTCTATGTGACTTCTCTATCATCAAGTAAAACGAAATACATTTTTAAACTTTAGATAATAACAAATGATCTTGTATAAATAGCCAATCATTTCTGTTTCATGTTTTTTCCCCCAAAATAAAAAAAAAATACAAATTTATGAACAGACCAAGTGTTTTTAAATAAATGTATTAAGGCTTGTACTGAAATAATTAATGTGTAAAAAATATGAAAATAATCCGTGATTTCCTGCTTATTTTGATGGGCTGAAGAATTCTGCCACTACAAAGCGCAGACAATTATATTTAATAAATATTTCTGTGTGCCGCTGCTGCTCAGTAGCTCCTGTAAAATGTCGAGATTTTTTCATCACACGTAAATGTAAGAAAAAAATCTCTTTTTAAGCCACATTAAGATCTGAAGAATCAATTTCCGGCTATTAAATTCTAATTAAATTAGAGTCTCAGTCATGAACTGCAAGTTGGTTATCTTATTAAGAGGATTTGTTTCGTTTCCCACCTTCCTGCTCCGGTTTGTAAAAATGTGATATTTTGCGCTGCTCCCTGAGATGCCCAAATTTGCGCTCGTCTGCATTCCACCACTGCCACCGAGGAGAAACATGCTCCCACCACACAAGGACACAAAGACGCGTTTCTCACTGACTGCTCCTCGGTCCCTTCTGAAAAAAAGCGGCTTCATCCCCCCTGAAATGTAACATCCAGCTCATTTACAATTTGGATGGACCACTCAGGGACCGCAGGGTTAAATAACTCAACCGCAGCCACCGGCTTTACGCATGACTTCCCCGTGCGCGCCGTCTCTTTTTCATTGCTGTTTCCCGTTTGCATCGCTGTGATGCTTGGAATACCACAGAAATCCTAGCTGACCTCAAACGTCGGAGCAGTTTGTGTTTTCCTTTTTGTCTGTTTAAGAAAGAGACGCTTAAAATGGCAGGTGCGCGCGTTTTGCTTGGGTTGACTTGGAGAAAGAGGTGAGGCTTTTTTTTGATATACCAGAGAATTAGACTGAAAATGAAATTCATTAACGTGCATTTCTTGACTACTTCACTGTTCTTTTTGTTAAATCTCATCAGAAGACAAAAGCAGAACAGTATTTTTCCTCAATCAATTCAAATGCAGGCTGGAGAGATAATGACTGGTTTGACGCACGACTACAGACAAAAAATGGCTAATGTTCAGGATCGGAGAGCAATTTTCTGCATGCAAATGATTACCTTCCCTTGGCAGACACGGGGGATTCATGCAGTAAATATCGAAACAATCACGTCTGGTTTTTGTGGTCAGATCATATACGTCCATCTCTGTTCCACATGCGCTGAGAGTACACTGCAATGGGGGGAAATTACATTGAAACAAATACTACAACACTAGAATTTGATTTTCCATTAAAGACATTTAGAGTAAAAATATTTGTAAAGTAAGAAGAGAAGGAGAAGCGCGAAACTTTCGTTGTTGCATTTGGCACGGCTCATTAGATTGCCTTTGGGTGCGCGCATTGTCCTCAAACGTGTGTTCGTTTAAATTGCTCACAGTGCTAAGTGCTTTTGTTCGGTTGCCTCGAGGTGAAAATATATTGTTGACAAATTAGAGACTGGTCATCTAGAGGATATTTCATTGTGTGTGATTTAATGTAAGTGAAGCATTTATGCATCATCATTCTATATTTTAGATTGGCCTTCTCACTAAAAACGGTATATTTCAATGATCCAGATTGCCTCATATCATAAATAAAAATCCCAGTTATTTCAGAAAAAACCTGAACGAATGATGTAAGAATCATTTCTCATGTCTTTTGTCTCCCCCCCTCTGCCTTCTCTTCTTCTTCTTCTTCAGGTGCTTAACCTCCCTCCTGCCAGTTCTGCATGGTCATGACCTGTCATCACGCCCCTTCCACAGCCCACCTCATCCTATTGGTCCTGCTCATTGTCACTCCACAGCTGGTTGGCACCGCCCCTGTGCGGGGTGAAGGAGGCGAGGGAGGGGTGGAGGGGCGCACCCGGACAGACCACAAAGAGGACAGCATCGCCCCCTTTCTCTCGCCCCCACCCCAGATTCTCTCAAGCCCCGACAATGTGTCCCTGGACCGGGGCCGGGGCCCGGGTCATGATCGCCAGTCAGATAAGGTGACGGACCCTGTGCAGGTGCTCGCTGTTCTTTTGGAGGCCCTGGACCACCCGGAGGAGAGTGAAATCCAGGCGAGCAGAGACTGGAGAGAGGATCAGAGTCAGGAGCTGCCCTCCATCGAAGGGTTGGAGGGTGGTGAGATAAGGAGAGGACAGACAGTGGGAGACAGGGGGGTGGAGGAGGAGAGAGAGGGGCGAAGGGCTGATAAGGCTATTGAACAGCTAATTGTGGGCCATTTGACAGCTGCTCAGGGTGATGACTTACAGGAAAGGGGGGAGGATGAGGATGAAAACACAAGGTCAGAGGAGGATGCAGGGTGGTCTGTGGAGGATGTGGGACCTGATAGTGTAAGTGAGGAAGAAAGGAAAGATGAAGAGGAGGGGCAGGAGGTAGGAAAGGATTTAGAAAGTTTCTTAGACAAAGCCAGACTGAGTTCCACGTCACAAGGAGATGATTCCTCTCTGCAGCGCAAAATAAGAGGCTACTTCCAAAATATTGACTTGGGTCTCCAAGATAATGAGATCCTGCCTCCACTGAAGGGCTACAAGGCATATAACACTCAGCTGGCACGAGCCGGAAAGAAGCAGCACTGGCAGGAAAACCAGTCCCGCAACCAACCCGTCAAGGGGGGCAACTTCATGGACGACTTTGATGATGAGGGTGAGGAGCTGGAGGAAGAGGTTGAGGAAGAGGAGGAGAGTCTCTCCCACATGGAGGAGGAGGCGAGAGCACGTGCAGAGAAGCAGGAGGTGCTCAGGCAGCAGGAGGAGGCGGAGCGAGCCAGAGAAGAGGAGCAGAGGCTGGCAGACATCGCTTCTGACATGCTGCTGCAGTACATGGGAAGGAAGCAGCAGTCTTACATGAAGCCCCGTGAGAAAAGCAGCTTCGGGGCTGCGGGCAACACAGCCGAGGACAAGCGCTCCGAGGAGGTCCTCCCAGATGAAGACGACCTAGACCAGCAAATGATCGACAGGCTGATTGAGATCAGCAGCAAGCTGCACCTGCCAGCTGATGACGTGATTGAGATTATTAGTGACGTGGAGGAGAAAAAGAAGAAAAGAAAAGAGCTGCAACAACAGCCAATCAACAGCAACCCTGTTGCCCCTCGTTTCAGGCCTCTGGTACCTCCTCCTCTGGCAGCGCCACCTATCTACCACTACACAGCCTCAAAAAACCCCAAGAAGAACCCCTATAAGTACAACAAGTCCAACAAGAAATGGCACAAGGACAAAGTCAAGTCATACAAACAGGAATATTGGTATAAGCCTCAGAAGCAGCTTGATTATTGGTACAAACCCCAGAAACAGTTTTTAGCCTTCCCTTCCTACCCATACTACCAGAAGCCATATCGAGCATACTACCCTGTTTATTTCCCATACCCCAAACCACAATATTATGGCAAGCCCTCCCCCTCCAGAGACCAGCTCTTCGGCCCCCAGGAACTTGACCTCCAGGCCCCAAGGCGCAGGCACAGGGCTGGGGGTAAGAACCGTGGACAGGGCTGGAGGCAGCAGCCACCACCACGCCTGCCTCTCACCCCTTATATCTCTAACTATATCCTTCCTCACCCACGGACCTACCAACCCTTACCTCCCCCGAAACCCCTAACCACGCCAAGGAGAGGCAGGCGTCCCCCGTACTACTATCCACAGATCACACCAGGAGATGACTATGAGGAAGACGGGCTGGTGCCTCAGCTGGACAGTGAGGAGGAACTGGAGAACTTTATTGAGAGGATCTACATGAAGCGCAGAATGTATTGAGAGACTTTTTGGACATTTGTCAGATCAGAGGGACAGACAGAGGTGGGGTAGATATACAGTAGCTTGAGAAAAGCTAAAAGAAAGAGAGGTGAAAAAAAAAGACTGAGATGAGATATGTGTTATGAGCCTGATGATGCACACACACACACACACACACACACACACAC